AGTAAATATACAACTGGGTTAGGGTTACCCGAACACAGGGAAGGAAGGGATTAGCAAACTGCAGTCACTCACTCTCATTCCCTCCTGCCCCTGCTCCCCTTCAGCTCCTGGAGGCCCAACATCACCCTACAGGGAGACAAACCACAACAAGAAGCTGGCTGGAGGTCAGAACACACTTACATATTTGCATCACCCGCTGTTTCACTTTCAATGAGCGTGCCCATTGATTTGCACATTAGTGGAGCAGGAAGAAGGCAAAGCTTCAAGAATTATAACAAGACAGTACAAACCTTTGCCCCTGGCTCTCCAATGGCACCTGGTTCTCCCTCTAAGCCTGGTAAACCCTACAATGATGGGAAAGAGAACCATAGGCAATATTTCATTTGTATACATTTGGATAGGATTGTCAAATAATACTCATAATCAATAAAGCATCATGAGCATTTAATGTAAAGTACTTCAGGTCCTTGTTCTCCATCAGGTCCAGCCTCTCCAGCAGGTCCTCTGGGTCCCTGAAAGAAAAAGAACCACCATGGCTAAAGCACACAAACACAATGATTCAGGAATCTCATTAACTTCTACATCAGGAACTTAAAACAAAATAGAACAAAATAGATATAACACAAAACTCTAGCATGTAATGCCCCAACTTTTAATTATATGTCTAGTCTAGAAAAAGAACTGAGAGATGAGATTGAATGAGTCTGAAATAAAAAGACTGAAGACCAGCCAAACACACAAGATGAGACCTATAACATAAACCGAGCCTCTAGCATTACAGAAAGCTCTCACCCTTATAAATATCTGTATCTGACTGTTTGACATTCCTCCTGCCCCTGTGGGGACTGAAGGAGTTCCAGGCAAATTAAGAATTTGAAGACTAAGCCAAAAAGGGAGGCACAAGGTGGGGAGCATTCAGGTGTGGTGAAAGCAGAAGAGGGAAGAAAATAAAGAATATCAAATATATACTCCCTCCCCCGAAATGATTCTCTTTCTGCTAAGATCAGAGCTTCTCGTGTGATTTAAACTGTAACAGCTTCTCCCTCGCGAAGCTTGTGCGAGCATCTACGGGCGAGCGCGTTCTCCCCGCTGTCATTACATGTTCTGCTGAAGGTGTTTTTCACAGCATGCGGTTTGTTTGCCGTTTCCTGTAACAACCACATCAATGCAGCAGAAAAAAAGCGCATACTTACTGGTTCACCTTGGGCTCCCCTCTCCCCGGTGCTGCCTGGAATACCTGGTTTTCCCTGGAAACATAATCATGAGCTCAGTGGTGATTCACTCAAGCATCCTGTGTAGTTAACAGAAGTCATGCACGGCTTCTCGTCATTACCAACACCACCATCATTATCACCACAATTTCCCGTGTGGCCACACACACGCGATGGCTGAGTTTAATATTTCAAGGTTGCCTGACAGCTACAGACACAACACAGAAACTCCAGGATGAGACTCTGTTTGTCGTAGTCCAAACATTGTATAGCCAAGACACTCCAATTATGTGACCAATGGCATTTGTTTTTATGCCTGTGAGCTAAATTTGCAACATCAGAAGTTTTGTGGCTCATGAAGCAGAGCAGGTCATCTGCTAATTTAAAGGTTGGTGGTTTAATCCCTGGCTACTCCAGTCTATGTGCCAAAGTATTCTTGGGCAAGATACTGAACCCTGAGTTATTTCTCGTGCACTTATTGAAGAAAGTATTTAGACACACAAAAAAAGTGCGTATGTGATGAGACATGAGGTATAAAGTGCTTTATACAAACAAGTCAATTTACTATTTAATTCAATAAGGTAAGTCCTTTGGATATTAATTTAGAGCAGCATAGCTGGTTAAAGTCCAATAGTCCCAGTCAAAAGGACATTCAACTGCTAAAAATCATTTACTGGCATTCCTGAATGGAAACATAACTGTAATTTGGCATCTTAATCCAGAAATAATAACATCATTTACCATTTACTATCATTTTGATTAAAGAGCTTGTGCACAATGGTGGTTTAACCCCTACAGAAACATAAAAAATGATTTTGTTAATTCCCAGTGCTGTTAATTTAGGGCTTCTGTAGCATACCTCTTACACTGAGTGTGGTAGCAATTATTATTCAAATTTTGCTTCTGTCTACTGAAAAGGTTAGACACAAGGGAAAAATATGTTTTCAAACTGTACACGAGGTGAGTGAAATGAACTAAGGGGAGAAGTACAAAAAAGCACAAAAGCCAATGACAATTTTTAAAGTTCACTTACTGTTTAAAAACAAGAGCCAGTTAGAGTAATGGGCTAAAAAAAAAGAGCGTGGACCACAAAAAGATTTATGAGCAGCAGTCACAACCACTGTCAGCTGCTTTAACTTAACAGAACTGCCTTCGACTGTGAGCTTCATGGGACATGACATCACAGATAGCATCGTTTTCTCGCTATGACTCAATTGGTTCTTTTTTCTCTTTTTTTTTTTTTGCACAGAGAAAATAGGAATTAGAATGAGTTACAAGTTTTGAGAGATATTTTATTGGGCACAAGATGGCGCTAAGACGTCAGAGTTGGAAAAATGGAAACAATGCTGCATCTTTGGCAGCAGCAAGGAAAGGTAGAGAAAGTTCCTTTAAAAGAGTGCAGTAGCAGCAACAGTGGGACAAAAGCTACTGTCAGCAGAAACTCTTCGCTGTGAGGTGAGGATGCAAGCTGTGTTTGGAAAGCACACAGGTTGAAACAAGTCCCAAGTTTGTGCTTGATGTCCCGTCCAAAGGATGGCACGAATGTACTGAACGAGTGTTTCACTGTACCGATGGCTGACTGAGAGAGAGAACGCAGGCCCAGACGCGTCTTTGTAGGTGTTTGTCTGATAAGAATGATTACCAACAATCCCAAAGCGTCAAATGTTCAGCCAAGACATGATTTGTGGGCAAGTAAAGAAGCTCATTTGTCAGTGGTAAATGAAGACAAGCTAAACAACAGCACGAAAAGAAATGAAGGTGATAAACAGCATATATATCTATATCTATCTACATATACACACATACATACATATTAGAGAGAGAGAGTAGCGAGCTAGACAGATAGATATGACTGCTGTGAAGATCATCACTCCATAATTAACCAGCCCACATGGAGCCATTTTTGATTGTGCCACTGATCTCTGCTGTTTACATGCTTTTGCCATCTGTTGATCAGTTATTGCAGCCTTTCGCAATGCATCAAAACTGCAATTCATCATTTGATCAATAATTAATTGTAAAGACCAAAAAAGGGTTGAAAAAAAAACAAAAAAAAAAACAACAACCTAGGGCTCCTAAAATCTGCCAAAAGTCTGACTGTGGCGTGACCTGCTGCATCTATTTGTTCAAATATCCCACTGAGTATTTACTGTGGTCACAGCTCTTTGATCAAAAACACTGAAGTATAATTGCTCCACTCTGCATGCTTAAGTATCCTTGGTGAGATACTGAAGCCTGAGTTGCCCTCCATGCTTTCGTTGGAGTGTGAACGTGTGAATGTTAGATATAGCGAGCACTCAGACATAGAAAAAAGTGCTGGAATGAATGGGTGACTGAGCAATGTTATACAAAGCACTTTGAGTGATGAAACAGAGTAGAAAGGTGCATTCCATTTCTCTTAATAAACCCTTATCTAATCTGCAACCACGAACTGGATAAACAGTTAAGAAAATGGATGGCTGTGATTAAATGAAATGAAACAGGTCTGGATGAATGTCTTATTTGGACTTTGAACACTGTAAACGGGCTTAAAGTAGTGAAGATTTACTCCTTATTTCTTAAATATAAAAGAAGGAAATTGTGTTAGCAACTGAGACATAATAATTTTAGTACCGCGCAACGTGCGAAACCTTGAAGCCATTCTACACTGTTGCTTCTCAAAAAAAAAAAAAAAAAAGCTTTAAGAGACAGAAGGAAAGAAATATTACTCACAGGCTTCCCAGGAGGGCCTCTCTCTCCTGGATTTCCAGCCTTGCCCTTCAAGAAGAAAAATATACATATGAATGATTAACGTGTATTGAAATACGTGAGGTTAACTCAAATCAAACCCATTACCATGTCTGATGGTGATGCAGTTCCAGCTACTACCGCACAGCAGAAAGACGGATGTTTGACATTGACCGCTCAAACATCGAGTTTTAGGGAATTTCTCTCATATGAAGACAAAAATGTGAGTGTTTTACAGGAGGAATAAATAAATGTGTTGTTCATTTATCTTCAACTGCTTGATGGCGCAAAACAGCCCAAATGTTTACTTTCATCCTGCTACTCCTCAGCTTATTGAGATCAGGTTTCTTATACTACAGACCGCCAGCAGCACAGGCGAATTACATTTGCGTCTAATCCGCCACAGGGGCAACTAGACCAAAGCCTCCCTCGGAAGATAAAAACTGCTTAAAGTCTGATGGAGCTTGTGCACCGGGCAAGCCGTTGTTGTTCTTGATGCTGTTTGAAATCAGACGCACTCGTGACTTTTCCACGAAGTGAATGTGCATCTTCAAGAAGGGGGGCGTGCTTGTTGGCTTGTCCGATGAAGCTGGATGACGCATATTTTATGACTTTTTTTAATATTCTTGGCTTCAGACAAATTAAGCTACGTAAATGTACTCAAAAGCCTTCAAGTATAAAACACACAGCATTCCCTGTTTCTCTCTTATACAGATGTGAAAACACGTTGACCTAAAGACTACTTACTATTAAGCTTGGCTCTCCTTTAGGTCCAATCTCCCCCTTTTCACCCTGAAAAACATACCACCGTTTGGAACGAGATTTAGGATAAAGCCTCAGCTAACACACAGGAATTAGTGTCAATTTCCTACTATATCTATACCATGATGTTACCTTGATGCCCTCAGGACCCAGTTCTCCCGGTGGGCCATCTGGACCTCGGGGTCCCTGTGCAAAAACAAGACGAGCCACACCACTGAACATCACTCAACAAAGAAAGAACAGTACGTTGAGCATCTAAGCTCTCACATGCCAACTATGGGTAATGAAACAGCACCACCAGCAAAGTAATTAGTCTGTATTGTTTGTCTGTTTGGGGAGGTGTTCCAGCCTGATGTAGCAGCCTCCCACCCCCACAGAGATTCAGGGGTTTCACAGCATTGTAGCGCCACCATACAGAGACAACGATCTATAACAACGACACCCTCAGCCCCCTCTTTTTTTTTGCTCCTGTCCATGCTGTTAGACCTTTCAGCTTATCTCTCCATTGAGTCTTCCTTTTATATCTCTTCCTTTGAGGACAAATCTGCTGCTATTTTGCTTGAGCCTCTCGTGTCACTCTGCTCTTTTATCTTCCTTGTAGGATTTATCGTTATATTCTTTTTCCTTTTGTTCACCTCTCCAACCTCAGTCTTGATTTAAACACCATTGAGTCATTTACTTTTGCCTAATCTTTCATGTTATAATGGATGCTATGTTCCTTTATCTGTTTAATCTTGTAATAGTGTGGAAAAAACTTTTCTTAGTGGCACGGACACTAACTGAAGGCAGGTGACGTACATTCACCCCTGCAGTGTGGCACTGAGGTCATGGAGCAGTAAAATTATGACAACAGAGTTGCCATAAGGTTTGCTGTCATTTTAAAGGTCAGTTTGGTCAGCTTGGCTGCCTGTCTCACAACTAACCAGATGTTGACTGAGATTAATATTTCTTCATGTTTTTTTGGTGGGAAAATAGGCAAAGCAGTTATTTAGTTGTTTCAATAACAGCTGTTTTTTAATAATTCACTTTAGTCAGTTTTCTTTGGCCTACAATAAATCACATGCATTTACAATGACTGATGTATTTGACCTCAACAAAGACAGAACTGACACATGTGTGGATTATGTTAAACAACTCAAGTGGCAAGTGTCGTATGTCTTTCTGGGCAAAATATGCAGAAGGAAGAAAACATTCTGAGAATTAAAGAAGACGATCTCAGATGAGAACTAAAGTAATGTGGTAGTAACTTATTACAATTATTTTTTCTCCTAATAGGACACATTCAACTAGAAAGCTGCTGTTTGGTGCAGAAGCTACTGTAAGTGGATGTAAACTATCAATTTAAAGAGGCGATTTTTGCAAAAATAAAAGTTTGAAACGTCCAAAATGAGCTTCTGCTTGCTTACGCTAGCCCAGCATTTTACAAGAAAGCACCAAACTTTTAACTACCTTGCTGGTAAAAGAAATTTGGAAAAGCTGCTTATGTGTTAACAATTAAACGATTCTTCGGGGACTTTTCTAAATGTCAAGATACAAAACAAAAGAGTTTGTTTCCAATTAAATAAAAAATCCAATCCTTTTTTTGAGGGCAAACAGATTTCTGTTAATACCACAGGACTGCAGTAATCTTATTAAAAGATAGCAGGACATGCCGTGGCATGTATATCTGCCAAGTTGGTTCAGGATTTAAATTTGCTTCCTCCTTCATTTCTGCTGCTGCAGAATTTAAATTCTTAGAAAATCACAAGCACAGAAACCAGAAACTGTTCTTTTGCCACCTGTAGGTGTTGTTCTTCTCTCTGCCACACGATGTCCCACCAGCATTAAATCACCTCACTGGTTTGACCTTACAATGATGTCTTCTAACACTAGATTCATGGTGCTCGTGAAACAGTTGTAATTGCACCTATAAAGAAGCTTGGGCCATGTGGAACGACATCCACATGTCTTTTAATTGCTTCAAGCTCTGGTTTATGGGAAAGAAGATGTGATGTGAAACAGACAAACCAAAGGTCTGATGAGGGAAGTTTTTTTTAAGGGACTGATGCAGCTTGTGCCCAAATGTTACAGTCTCCTCTTACCCTTCTACCCTTTGGCCCAGCAATGCCTGGACTGCCCCTCGGTCCTGGTGGACCCTGTCAGAAAAAAAAAAAACAGTGTGGATATAGAAGTGAAATTAGTGAGAACATAGACCAGGAAATTATAAGAAGAAGGGAAAAAATAAGAATAAAGTTTGAAGGTTTTCATAATATTTGGTGGAGTTATGGTTATAATATTTAGATAAAATAACTATGCATCTTCTAACCACATCATCACTAATGCTGTGAACCTACAGCATGCTGCACAAACACCTCGGTGGAAATGATCATCAGCCAGTTAGACGCACTGTTTACTGCTCCACGCTAAATTGTGAGAATGGGGGCAACTGACGTATCAAATAGCCCTCACAAACTTTGGGTGTTTACAAAGACGAGCGTGATCCTTCAGCACAGTTTAAGGGCCCAAGAAAATCTTGCAATTTAGGTATTTACAGACATCCAGCCGAGACACTTGGTACAGAAGATGAGATTCATTAATACACAGGGAGCAAAAAGTACTTAGCAAAGGAAATTGATGACAAAAAATACACATATAGGGAGGTATGCATGAGGTTAAAATCCTGCATGTTTTTGTTGCTCCACTTACAGGTGCACCTTGCATGCCGATGTCCCCTGGGCTCCCTGGCAACCCTGGATAACCCTGACACCAAAAAGAAAGGGGAAAACATGTCACTCTTTATTGATATCGCCTACAAAATCATTTTTAAAAAGTAAAAGCGGTTAACACGACATAAAATATCCAGGCTTATCTGCACTATGCTTTGGGATCAGCAGCTAATCTGGGGCAGCGGTGAACAGAACTGTGTTTCATATTATGTTGTCTTAGAATGGGCTCCAGGCTGTTCGGTGTTGTGGTTCTCACCCACATTTTACAGTATTTTCCTATAATTATCTATGAGGGAATAACACCCAAAAGTCAAAGAAAGTCACTAAAGACTAGAACACGTTCCAGAAAATGCTAATCCTGCAAATTGTCTTTGAACAGAAACAGAATTTCTGGATAAGATCATTGTAATCTGTGATGATTACACAGCACAAGCCTCTAAACTCAACCTCCACTCCTCGTTAATGTGGCTACATTACACCACCAACTGGTTCACACAAATCACTGCAATCCCTCTCGCAGCTCACAAACATCTCTCTCCTTCTTAGCCAAATGTGCACGCTAGCCTTTTGACTGCCACCAGATTAGTTAGGTCAGGCCTGGGGCCCAAAGCCACAGACATGGAGTCAATCCAAGGCCCCTGGACAGTGTAGGATGTAGGCCAGCTTCTCTTGAAGATTCATGCAGCATTACAGCACATATAAGAAACACTGCTGCACTGTTTTTACTCAGTCTCAGTAACCCACAATCAATGGGCACTATGTTCACTCAGCTTATACACAGCTAGGTTAGGCTTTGGCTCTCTTTAGTGTTACAATGAGGTACAAACTGTGAATGACTGTCAGTGGTCTGCTACACTGGTCAGATTCTCCATGCCTGTGGGTAGCTCTAACTAATCCTTCAGTACATTCGATAATATTACCTATCTAGAGATTAGATAGGTGTCTAAAAGAGATAAAAGATTCTCGTAATCTCCAAGAATATAGTACCTGGACGTTTATTTGCAGCAATACTCTATATTGTGCTGCTGTCAGTATATTACTGCAAATTTACAGTGAAAGGTTTCACTATGCAAACACCTTCAATAACAACACTGTGGAAAGATCTATTTTGCAAACATTTGTACCTTCAGAAGTTGCAACACAGAGTAATCTGGAACTTGGGTCTCTAGAGGGTCTGCCTTCATTTCCAGGAACTAAAACATGTAACATCTGCCAAAGCTTACAGCCAGCATCGCTTAGTGGTTCGAATTTAACTCATCGTCTTTAGCCATTAGTTTACTGTTTTAGTCTATTAACCCTTTTACTGTAGGTTTGTGAGCTGTCAGACAAGAAACGGAGAGCTGCAGAATATCCTGAGTGACTGCACTTACCCTGGGCCCCTTCTCTCCGGCTGGACCTGTTGGACCTGGTGGTCCCCGGTCACCCTGGAGGAAAAGGAAGAGTTGATCATTAAACCATGACCTAAAACCTCAACACACATTCACATACATTTCTACTTAATAAAAGCCATGAAAGTGGAGAGGAGCTTCTTTAAGTGTAGAAGGTAAATGTGACAGTGGTGTACAAATAGCAGATACTAATATATATATACTGTCTTTGGCCCTCTGCACAGTATAATAAAAGCCAAAGGTAAGCCCAGCTGATCAGTAAAGCTTCCAAGGGCTTTTTTTTAAACCTCTGTAACACTTGTTATTCCACCTTGTCTCACACAGGGATCAGACTATTCGTATGGAACTGTTTTGGAAATACTTAGCGCAGTATTAAACAAATATTATCCATATATCTATAATGTGAAAAGAATTTTTAGGCTGTCAGGGTACGGCTGGTGATGACAGATTGAACCAGGAGGAGGATTTTTGTGTAAGAGGAGTAGGAGGACAAGCAAGAATCTGACAAGCAGATGGCTTCCCACCACAAGAACATGTTCTGACAAACGGGCCTTCTGGATAGGAAGGAAAAGGGGCTGCAGGTTGAGAAAGAGGGAGGGAACAATTTACTGTACAGAGATTAAAAAGGTGTGTAATGCTGTGCACGTTTACTCGGCATAAGCTGAGGTGGAAAAAGAACTTTTAAAAAAAGCACTGTGTCAGAAACAATTACATTTTGGGAGTTTCTAACATCCGTAGACAAGCAAATTTGTCTAAAGAGTATTGTAATCAAATGTTCCCTTTCATTATAGCTTGACGTTCAGCAGAGTGCAGGAGGGCTTAAAGGAAATAGTGGTGATGTGGATTTGACAATATTGTTATGGATGAGGATGTGAGAGTGTTGAGTGTTTATACAAGCACGTGTTCTGGGGCTCGTGGGCCTCAAGCCATGGCCTAATTATATAGGTCTGCCACTGACAGGCAGGCAGCTCATGCTGTCTGACAGCCTAATGACAGAGAAACACACACCTTACCTTTTCACCAGGAACTCCTATCACCCCAGCTATCCCAATCAGGCCTGCTGGACCCTGGAGAGGAGAGGGATAGCGTTAAACAGAAACACATCACGAGAAGTTATATCTGCGCAAAAACCCAATCTTCATTCATCTAAGGGTTACTTCCCGACTAGTCATGACACCTGGAATGTGAGAGGTCATAGATTACAATCTAATGCTTACATAAGCAAAAATGCAGGCGCTGCAAAGATGAAGAGAAACCTGAAGGGGTGAAGATCATTTTTACCATCTCGACTTTCACGAGTTTTTCCTAGAAATAGTGCTTAACTAAAAACACTGAGAGAAACAAAGGAAAGTAAACACATCAATATGTGCCAGTAACCATGCTATAACAATATTAATTCCAAATCCACTTCACAACCCATGTGGTATTGATACTGGGCCGTTATTCAACAAAGCCAGAACAAATGGCTGCAACCTTGTTGTGACTGCTGAAACTAAACTGTTGTCTGGCAAAAAAGAAAAAAGAAAAAAAAGTAACAAATAACACATTTTTTAATCGCACAATTGCAGTGGCTCACGTACTACGTTCACACTGCACTCAGCGTCAAGAAAAGCTATTTTGCGAATGACTCCTTGTGGGGGAACCACCAGAAAATGTAAGTATGGAAGTTATCAGAAGAGCTTAACCATTTCCAGTTTAGTCATGCTGGGGCGGGAGAGTGGGGGGTGGGGGTGCTATAGTTTGAAGCGGTGCCAGCTGCTTCACTGGATAATCTGGAGTAAAATGGCAAAATGTCTCAGTGGCTGATTTGACATTCTGGCAGAAAAGCGCAGTTAAAAAGAAAAAGTTTGTCCTCGTGTTTCTAAATATGCGAGTATGTAAAGTGAGAATAAACAGGAAGGAACGATGTGAGATGTGCAATTATCACAAATCAGACTGAAGCCTCAGGATTAAGAGTGCATGCATTGCAACACCAGATTTCTGTGTAATAATTCAAACAATTGCCCGACAGCAGAACAGCAGGCAGAACTGTATAAATTGACCTCAAACCTCTTAATTGGGATGTGAAGCAGGATATTGTGGTGCCCTGTATCACTTAACAGAAAGACATGGCTTCAAAAGTTTTTCCATGTGAGGCCTTGACAGGAGAGCTTTAAAGGCAATGTTTTTAAGGCCATTTGGTCTCTGAGCCACAGCATTAATAAGACCTTACAGTCAAGGAGGAAATACAGCCAAAGTTAGATTTTAATAAGAAATTCTTTTTAAGAAGGATCTTTAAATGAATGTGAGTACACTCTGAGTCAGTGACACACACGCGCGCACACACACACACACACACACACGCACAAAACATAGGTGAAGTTAGTTGTGAAGTGGAGACTAAGATGAAAACAGAACAATCAGCAGATAACCTCAAATCAGCCAAACTATGATCTTAAAAACTCAAAATTACACTGAGAACAGTTTATGGGAGGCCTTAGAGCATAGATGTCAAACTCATTTTACATGATGGGCCGCATGCAGCCCAATTTAATGTTAGGCGGCGCAGACTGCTTTTTGACTGTGTAAAATAGTCTAACTGCACATGTAATCCTTGAGCTAGCTCAATATTTGGGCTTAAATTGTAAGAAATGAATGTGTAAAGTTACAGAAAAAGTTCTGGCAGCTTTTTTATTTAATTTATAGAAAATGTTCTATTTTATTGATTTATTTTACTTTGGATAGAAAGTAATAAAAAAATAAAATAAACCCCCGCATTTCTGCAGTAGATACTAAAAAAACAGGAACTGTAATTTTGTCTGTTACTTCATTACTGTACTATGAATGACTGTGGAGGAGTTCTTTATCAATAGGACAGGCTGTAAAATTTATGAAAATACATTTAAAAGCCTTCCTTCCCATTTTCCAAAGACATCCATCCAGTGGGCCGGATTGGAGTGTTGGCCAGGCCAATTCTGGCTCCCGGGCCTTATGTTTGACACCACTGCCTTAGAGTGATATAGATGCACTCAGTGAAGACAGATTGACTGAAACCCCTTTGGATAGACTCAGGGCTTGGAAGTTTTCTTTTTTTTTTAATCTTAGATATCTAATTTATCTGGAAAGTGATGTAATGGCATTCATTAGACCCTCCATATGTTTTAGAGGGTTTTTTTTCCACTCTGCAGAGCCCCATGGTTCCTGTTTGGCTTCAAAGGCCCTTCTACTCAGTAACTGCTCTCATATGTGCAGTGCTGCAACAAAGTCCAGCAGTCCCACTTGGTTGCCTCCACTATGCACAGAATGCAAATATTAGCATTAAGGGGCCTCCGGGAAAGACCAGCATACTTTGAATGGTCAGAACAGTTGCGTGCGTACGAGAATCTTACAATTATGTCCCGGCATTTCTCTACAGTATCTGTGTCAAGTATAAAACCCAAAGACAGACGTACGAAAGTGTGATTTTTGCAGTTAGTTGATTTCTTTACAACCAGTCCTGACACAGATGTTTTTGGGTAATCGATAAACAGTCCAACATTTCTGTGTTAACAATTTCTCTGTAAGTATGATTCATGCACAACAGCGTGTCAAAAAGGCTTTTACAGGCTTTGAGCCATAAAAAAAAATGGACAACACAAATGAGATCACTTCCACAGAGGATATCTGTTCTACTGAGAAGTTCCACCAATTCTGATTTAAAAACAGTACGGTATTTGGATCGCAAGAGGAGAGATCCAAAATGTCTTAGCCTCAAAAGTAGGTCAGTAAAATAGTGATGCATGAGAATGTGTTCCTGTAACCACTTCCACAGTTGCCACAGAGAACAGTTAATTTACTGGAAGCACTTCATCAGTATAAATCTAATAAAAGCTATACCACAGCCCTGCACTCTCTATAAAGGGATCCAATGGAAAACTACTAATCCACAGTACACCGTCTGTTAGCTAATGTCATTAGAGGTGTGAAGGAAACTTACTTGTGGTCCAACTTTTCCAATATTTCCCATGTCCCCTTTCTCTCCCTGCAAGCAGTAAACATCAGACAATGTGCTGGTTAGCTTCCTGTAGTTAAACAGATCACTGATTTGGTTCTCACAGGATATTACAAGTACAAAAAAGATCACACACATAGACCATGGGACTACATGTATGATTGCCATCATGTATGATGATGTTTTTTTGGAGAAAAACAAACTCCAGAATAAACTGCAGCTCTCTCATAATTAAGGGCATGTTTACAGCATTATAAGTCTAGGCAATAAGCACCTCGCAAGGGGAGGAAAGCATGAGACCAATAAAATCTTGATGTACATAATACTAAATTTATTATACCACATTACAGGCAATAAAAAATAAAAGAGTAGGGAAAAAGTCTACAGTTGACTATATTACAATGTAACGCCATTTTTACAACACTGTTACGATTTTTCAGTGAGATGATGATGTCATGTGGCATTTGAAATTGCCACAAACATGCACTTACGTATGCGGTGATTAAGTGATGGGATCTCACCTGTAAACCCTCGGAGCCAGGTTCACCGATGTGGCCTTTCCTTCCAGGTCTCCCCTAAAGGTCGACAGACACATACACGTGAACGTAAGTATAAATGCTGATCGAATGATGGCAAAGCTTATTTTATTCCATCCAGTCGGAGGTGATTCATCTTTATGAACCACCTACAAAAGGCTTAGCATGATTTACGTGTGCGGCTGAGTGCAAATTCAGTGTATGAATTTGGGAGTTCTTACAGTAGGGCCTGGCCCGCCGGGTGGGCCGAGTGGTCCTTCGTCGCCCTGCAGAAACAAAGTTTGTTCAATAAAAAGTTTCCAAAGGCATGTTTCTGAAAAGCTGTAAATAAAAACGTGTTACACTGATTTGAAAATTGTATAAAGCATTTATTTCTCTTCACAAACAGATGTTAGAACTTATATTTTTATTATATTACATAATACCAGGAAGTTTAGCACACTGATGTATCACTTCTTCTTTTAACAAAATTTAGAAAGCATGTGCAAGGATAACAATTGGAGAGTTTTTTTCCATTCTTAGTGGTAAATGATTTCAGCTCCATGATGGTTCAGGGCTTCTTTTTATTAATTATTAACATTATTATTATTATTATCATGATTAATGACTAATAGTCATTTTTAAGCATAGGTTCAATCAAAAGTGAGCCATCAAACCTTTAAAAAGTGGAAAACCCTTATTAATGATCAAACGTCCCTGTGCAGTGATTTCCACTGTAGCATTGTGCCAGCAACTCTGGGGTCATCTTGTAGCACCGTGTTACTCCTACCCATGTTTTTTTGTTGCATGCAACATTTCCCCTCTGAGCATCCATTATCGCTAACAGATGAAGGCAATTCTGTCTGAGTTGGTGATGTCGGCACATTCCCTTGTCTACAGTACAGGAACTCCACAGGGGGCTGTGCTTACTTAATTCCTGTTTACTCTGTACACCTCAGACTTTCAGCAAAACTCCCGGTCATACCACCTACAGAAAATCTGATGATTCTGCAGTTGTCTGATGTCAGCAGGAGAACCACCGCTCACTAGATTTCTTTTTTCTTTCTTACAAACCATAGTGTGTAAAATCCCAGCAGTTTCCGAAATACTTAGACCAGCTCATCTGGCCTTAACCCACTCTTCTCCCTCATTCTGATGCTCAGTTTGAGCTTCAGTGGTTTTTTGTTTTTACTGTTCCTACATTTCTAAAAGCATTGTGTGGCATGCTAATTAGATATTTACTTCAATGAGAGGCTGAACAGGTGTACCTAATAAAGTGTCCATCTTAGTTTCTTACAAGGTCTTGCAAACTGGATATGAAAATGTTTAAATTTTACTCAAATAAAGAGAAAAAATTAATATATCTTGTTATTTCTCAACATCATTGTTTTGGGTAACAACCTTTGTCTGCGTACTCTGCCGTGTGTGACAGAAGAATACATTAGCCAACTCTACACTGTTGTGTATGGAGGCCAGATCAATATTCCAACATTAAGCACAATAGAAAACTGTGTGTTGCTCTACACTTTCCAGTGGATTCTGTTTCTATTTACAGGGCTGGAAAAATTTCAGCCTTGTTTTCATAAGCACCTGTTGGTGAATCATGACTTCACCTGGTGGAACATGCCCTGAGAGATATAGCAGGGGGAAAAAAAATCTGAGATCTGAGCTATACCTGTGAAATATGAATAGATGTTAAATGAGAGGGAGTGTGCTAATTCATCTTGCCTGATCAAATGGAAATTCCTCAGTGAGCTATAGTTTCCACTTCTCTTCTCTGAGTGAATTGAGAACCTGGAAAGATAAGTTAGGTGTCAAATTGTCTCACCTGTATTCCTTTAGGCCCTGGCGGACCCTGGGGTCCTCTCTCACCCTGCAAACCCTGAAACACAGGTGAATGTATGACTGGATGAAATTAATGAATGAGTGGATGGATGGAGAGAGTGGAAAAAGAGATGCTGTTGTACCTTTGGACCAGGTGGTCCGTTTGGGCCCGGCGCTCCAATGTCCCCAGGAAACCCCTTGCAAATTCAGGAGAGAACGAATATTGTTATAGAACATTATTATTAAGCCAAATGTTTTGATTCCTCTGCATTAACCTGTATAAGACAGAACTGTATAAAAATAATGATGGATTGCTGCTGAGCTAATGTTCTCCCTCAGGCAAGCCTGCCATGACACAATCACTCATCTCATAAAATGTGCTTGCGAGCTGCGGCCTTTGTGACCTTTGATGACGTAGCAATTCTGGGCAGCTTGACTTTGACATTGTCGATGTGTTTCACATACTGTGCAGTATTAACAAACACTTTAACAGAAGGTGAGATATCCTGCATAACACCTAAAGTAAACAGAGTGCTGGCAGACCATGACAGAGCAGGAAAATTTTAAGGACATATTAACATTGTGGAAATGTAATAGTTTTGACTTAGAAACGCTTGTGGCTAGCAAGATAATGTGCTACATTCAGTTCAGTGCTATGTTGTTGCTAGTGGGAGAGCTAGCATAGCATAGAGAAGATTTTCCAAGTACGTATTCAGGAGTTTTTAATTTAACCACAAACTGTAGTCAGATGAGTTGATGCCATCGAAAAGCTCCAACAACAATCCCACGCTGCTGCTCTTTCTCTCTAGTAAAACGCTTGTTTTTAAGCTTTTAATGGAACTACTACTAATACAGTTATCACGAAAAACCCCAACAACAACAACGTTTTAAGCAAAGCAAGTCGATTATTGACTTAAAAAATTAAAGAATGTAAAATAATTACTTGCCTCTTCCATGACAAAAAAACCAATTCAGTCTCTATTTGTCAGAGCATCTATAGCTAATTTTAATAATTCAAATCAACATCAAATTACAATTTTTAGCAATTACAGGGATTATGAATGACAAAGGTAATGTTTTCTGAGTATGAATAAATAAACTCAGCCCAAAAAAGGAACAAAAGAATGACAAAACATCCACGGACATGCAAATACATGTACCTAATATGAGCGACTTTGCCCACACAGACACACTCAGCAGTATAAGACTCTGTGAAGTCATCTGTTTCTGTTTTAAGATTTATATTAAGCTGTTCATTATCTTCTAAATTGGTAGATAATTTGGTGTGAAAGCAAACGGAATAACAACCATAACAATCCCTTCGAATCTAAGGTGAGCCAGCATTTGCAGTATATGCACCGTGAATGAAAATACTTATTTTACAGCCACATGGATTTAGCTTAAATCCTATATCTGCTACCTGCTACCTTATCCCCCTATGCTGTCTTTGTCTTTGCATTATCATAAGTTTGACTTGGAGCAGCCATAAAAGAAGCACTCTCTTGGCAATGTGTCCATTGCATTACACACTCTATTAGGAAAGTAGCTGTACCTCAATCTGTCTTTACTTTAGTCAGCATACTCCACTGAGCCAAAATACAGCAAAAAAGAAATGCTGTCAGATACTACAGTCAATATTTTAAGAAGACAAAAGCTGAAACATTTTACTCTGACCTTCTCATACTTCATACTGGACTGCTGGATACTGGCCTCAGTGAAGATCATGTTTTTAACAGTAGCTGCCTCTGACTCCCCTTTATTTCATGCAAGCGCAACAAATATTAATAATAATAATTTATTTGTACAATAATTTTCAAAACACAGAGTTACTAAGTGTGTCACAGTTTGAATAAAAGCTAACCATAAGTATACATGTTCCAACATACAGATACATAAATGGGAAAATATGAATGGAAAGCTAACCTGTAAAAATAAGAAGTCAGTCGCTCTGATATAAGCAAGAGCCAGTCAATGTAGAGCTTTATATGTTAATAATTTGATGTTAAGGTGGATTCTGAATGTCACTTGGACCCAGCAAACGGAAGCAATAATAGCTGTGATTGGTGAGCGTCAGATAGCTTTTGTTAGCAGCCTTGCTGCTATGTTCTGCACCATCTGGAGAGGAGCTATGGAGGACTGAGAGATGCAAGTGACTGACAGTAATAGGTGGGAGAAAATTAAAGTGTATATTAAAAGCTCCAGATAAAAGAATGAGTCTTTGATTTTTGCAACATTTCTTAAATGAAAGAAACATGACTGGATGAGATTTGAGATGCAAGATGCAAAACTCAGACGTCGTTCAAAGATGTGCAAAGATGCAGATTTCTAACGTTGCTGACTGATCTCCTTAGAGAAACTGTCAAGAACCTGTTTTACCAGGATTGAGATGAACAAAATTTGAATACATCCACTTAGAAATGGCAGAGAAGCATTCACTGAGACGGGAGATGCTGTTAAGGTTTTAGGGCTTAACAGAAATGTACAAGTGTGTGCCATCTGTATAGCAATGGTAAGAGATTCCTTTGAAACTATTAAGAAACATGTATAAAGAAAACAAAATTGGTCCAAGATTAAGTGCTGGGGGACTCCACATATGAGGGAATATATTTGTTAATATGCATTGGTAAGTATCTGTCAGAAAATTGTGATGAAAAAATGCACAACCATGTATGCCTTACCTCTGGTCCTGGAGGCCCAGGTGATCCAGGCACACCCATTTCTCCAATTTTACCCTGACGAAAAGAGAAGAAAGACATGAACAATTTGCTCCTCTTGTGTTGTGCGGATATAATCCCGAAATAAGTCACTGACACCACTTTGATGATGTATTCAAATGTTAGATCACCAAGGGGATCCTACAGAGAGTCTAAAGCACTCAGATCATGATTCTGCTTGCTATAACTGTCAGACAGGACAGGGTATAAAAAAAGAAAGTAAAAAGTAAAAAATTAGCCAATAAAGACTAATAATGTTACTTCATATTTGCTAATCTGTGGTTGACAAAAGATTTTCCAAGCAGTTTCTGTCACTCCATCTTAAATGTTTGTTTCTTTGCTTTGATTCACTACAGATAGCCGTTTAACTTGTGCAACTTTCCTGCCATTATGTTAACACACTAATATTACAGACAGCTGGGCACCAGTCTGGGTTTGGTGTGGAATAATCGCTCTAAGCGCTTCTGTAACAGTTCTTAGTAAGTCAAAGATGCAGCAGTTTGCTGAAACCACAACTTATCTCTGATTGGCTGGCAAGAGACAAGAGCTGAAAAAACCCACCTGAAACCAAAGATTGAGCCAAAGGGATTACGTTTACACATGCTAACCTCTTTATTTAGCACTGGCTGTGTTTAATATAATTATCCAGCACTGTAACAGTATACATATGACAGGAAATAGCAAAAACCCTTTAATCATGTAGACTGCTAACTACATGTTAGCTTTTTGTCTTTTCTTTCCTCTTTACACTGGGCTAACAATGTCATTATTCTCATTACGTGACTTGTTTAGATATCATCCTGCAGGGAATTTGTAATGTTTTAACTTAAAAGAGATTAATTTGCTCTAATGGTTGCTTGTGCTGATAAGCAAACCCAGAGCTGTTTAAAGACATTAATTTCACATTTATCTCCTATCACTGAATCTCCCCTCCCAGAAAATCTAAGATAAAGGTAATGTTTTCTGAGTATGACTAAATAAACTGAATCCAAAAAGCATGGCAAAACATCCACGAACATGCAAATACATGTTCCAAGCATGAGTAACTTTGCCCACTCAGACACACTCACACAGACATACCGGTGGCCCTGGTTTCCCTCTGGGCCCAGGAAGACCAGGTGCACCAGCAGCACCCTGAAAGACAAACACACACCATTTTTGAGTTGATTTCACAAAGTCCGTGGTTGACTTTTCTTGTTTTTTAATCAATCTCTATGTACCGTAATGGAGCAAACACAGGTAGAACCTATTGGTAACAGCAGATACACACATTGCATGGTCACATGGCGTGCTATGCTTTGTAAGGACGCTTACCTTATCCCCCTGGTACCCCATCTCTCCTGGCTCGCCCCTTTGTCCGGTTTCACCCTAGATTTCATAGTATCAAACAGAGATATAACACAACACTGCACTGCCGCAATAATCTGAAGAAACCACAAACAAAAAAACGGCACACACTATACAGAGGCTGTTTAATGCACCAGCACTATCAAAATTCAGTTTGATAGGTTGAGTTCAATGTCGTGAAAGCAAATGAAGAGTCTGTAAAGAACCACTGGAGCAATATCAGCGTTTAACATGAAAAAATGATTCAACACTAATACATAGGACTGAGTTTGCTGGATGTGTTAGCAAAATGTCACAAGGATCTTATATAGTACGTCCAAGTCACACATTACACACAGATGCACTGCAATAATATAAATATTTAGATCACCTTATCACCTTTCAATCCAGGCAGGCCGGCTCGTCCTGTTGGGCCCTGTCGCAGAGGGAGCGGAACAAAGGGAAGGAAAAGTTTAACATTCAATCACTTAGGATTCTCCTAAGATGTAAAAAAAATGGTAGAAGCAAATATCCGGCCCACCTGAGGTCCCACCATACCAGGCAGTCCTCGTGGTCCCTCGGGCCCTGGGTCTCCCTGCGAAGAGAAGGACACAGTGGAATTTATGTATCACAAATACACACACGTAGTACTTGTAATATGAGTCCATTGTTGTTTGATAGTGAATGGCATTTTTGCACAAAATATTTCTGATCCATTGTTGACATTGTATTGACATGCAGCACATTCCTGTTTGCCACAACCCTATGAGAAACATAAGCAGTGTTGGCAGAGTATCCAGTTGTTTTGCAGCGGTTTGGGTTGCCAGGCCCCAACAGTCAATCCACTCTAATTGACAGAGGTGAGGGGAGACTGGCCAGAAAGTGTGGCTGGACCAAACAGCAGACAAGCTGCTCAGGTAGCTTTCACCCTGTCTGCAGTAATAGTCAGAAGCACTGATGTGATGACAACAATTTGTATATGCACAAGTATGTGTGAGAGCATACGTGCTATACTATTCCCACAGACACAGCAGTTACAAGTTACTCTGGGTTTTTTCCCCTCTATGCCTAAAGATAATGGAAGCAATACCATATTTGCTCTGTAGCAGCAATGTCTGATGCAACCAACAAAAGCATAGTGAATACAAAACCAAAATAAAATCCAGAATTTTGCACCACTCGTCTGCAGAAAAGGCCTGAGAGCAATAATGTTACTGAAAAACAAACCTAAAAGAATTAAAGAACCAACCACTAAAAACAATCAATGTGTCGGTCTGACCAATATGCACAAAATCAGTAATAAGTATTACAGAATACTGTCTATGTTGCATCATCAAAGACATGTGGCTTAAACTATAAGTCCATCTGGACCCCTTAAGGTCAGTGTTTGATGCTGAGGCTCCGCTGTGGTACCGCAGGAGGACACACAAATCACATGCCTTCCATCAAAAGAGGCTTTTAACAGTGGACACATGAAAAATGATGCACTGAAAGAAGGGGGAAAGCACAGATAGAAAATGCTCCCCCATTGCCCCCACCCAAAAACTCCAGAGTCCACTGGCCGAGCTGAAACGACGGGGTACATCAACATCCCACACAGAGCCTTTCCTCAAACTGCTGTCAAGATGGAGCCTGTCTGCCAGGTGGTTAAACATCATCCAAACCGCTATCTGCTCGCCACGCGGGGAAGACAATTGGTTCGAGGCTCGATCAAATCCAGATTGCTGCATTCCTGTACATCATGTTTCAACACAACCGTTGTAGCCTCAGAAAATCCAATTAGACATAGAAATGTTTCTACACCCAGGACATCATAATCACATTTAAGCGCGCCACTTCAAATGCCTCCGATTCAGACCCAGACAAGATTTAGTGCATTTTAATTTAGACTTGGCCACAAACAGCATGTACCTCTGTTAGCCACACACCAAATCTGATTGGCTACATACCAAAAAAAGGGTTGGGCCTCCTCTGGTAGCTTATGTGCTTATACTGTTAATGCGATTAATTATGAAAAAGACATTTGAGTCTCTGTGATCTAGTAGCTCCTGTAGGTGTAACGTGTAGGTGTCCCTTTTTTCACCACGTAGTTTATGTGTAGACAGCTGTTATTCCTTGCTACTGCAATGAGACATATACCAATAGCTAATTTCACTGTAACTTCAAAGTAACTTCAGAAGAATAGATGAGAAGGTATAAATCTAAAAAGTTAATCTAGTTCCTGACACAGTCACAGTCCAGTATAGCTAAATGACTTTGGTGCAAACTACTGAACTGCAATGCCCATCATTTCCTGTCTGTCTTCAATATCATGATTGCTACCTTCATGGACACATTCACAAGTACTTTGAGTGTAAACAGAGCCATTCCTAAAAAAAATGCAGGTAGTATATAAAAACAACAAAAAACATGGTGGAAGAATTGTAAAGAAAAAAACAAGGGTATTATTACAGCTACTCTGGTCTCCATCTCGCCCTACTGTTTTTCTTTCAGGCTATGAAAAAGTGTCGGGCTGCATCACATTTTGCTGAGTCACACACTGGCAGAGACATCAAGTGCATACCAGAAGGAACACTTGCTGTTTATGTTCTCTCTGCGATTACTCGAGTAAAGGTTCTAACCACGTGCAAAATGAGTGAGCACAACGAGAGCCTCAACGGTGTGACTGACAGTGAGACGTGAAAATGAGTTTTAGATGTCAAATTAAAAGTTCTTTGCGAGATTCGTACAGCGTCAAAATCACCCAGCTGGAAAGTTGAGTAAATATGATTTATTACATCAAAGGCTGGATTAAAGAGGTGCGGGGATTTGGGCTCTCTAGTATGATTACTCAAAAGTACTTACTGGCCATAACTTGTCTGAGAACTGCATCAGCTTTAATTATTAATAAGTCAGTTACCGCCTCCTTTTTTGCATTTGAGTAAAAGTAAAAGTAAAAGTATATAAATTGCAAAAAACTATCTTATCACTGACTTCATTTGAGAAGTAGCGTTTGACGTTGCTCCGGGTTGTTCCGTCACACAACCTGAAAGTGTTAAAGCGTTCACATCGGAGCTTATGATCAACATCACTGAACACAGTGAAGCGCAGTTCGTCAGATACAACTGTGAAGGAACAAAACGTGGTGGCACCTTGATTTCATTTGGTCAGAAATGTAATTTACTGTTTTTCTTTGGTAGGAATTCGTGCAAACTTCAAAAGGTATTTTTTTGTTAATAAATACTGTTGAAAAGCCTGTTTATTTCCCTTATATCTTGCCAAGAAGCATTGTTGGCAACAAAGGAATAATCAACAAAACACAAATTTCCTTACTTTTTGAGCTAATTTTAAATAGGCACAGGGAAGGGAAGGAAAGGAAAGGAAAGCCCATTCACACACATACAAGTGTGTAAATCAGTGTCACATCCTTTTCTTTTTACACCAAGTGGTCTGCAGTTTCTGAATGAGACCTGTCATCAGTTAAACACAGCAAGTGCCATGGCTAGCAGAACTGATATAATCAAAAGCAACTATTTATTTTTGCATAGCACATGTAAAATTCTGCATGATATTAGGTTTGGGTTTTTTTTTGAACCAAAACACTTGAAGATGGTGTGTGCATACTTCCTGTCTGGCTGTTTCAGTAGGATCAGTGACTTACAGCCAGTAGCTGAGGTGAATGCTGAGAAATCATTCCTCCAGCTGTGT